GAGTGACCCTAGTGTAGGTTGATTCTCCTGAAATGACCAGTGTATCAGGTGATACACAGTGAATCTAGTGTAGGTTGATTCTCCTGAAATGACCGGTGATACACAGTGAATCTAGTGTAGGTTGATTCTCCTGAAATGACCTTCCCCTTTATGTCTGTCAGTGATGAAGTGATTCATTTTTATGAACTTTCCTGTGTGAAGCACACAATGGAAGTCTTTAGGATGTGTGTGTATGTAAAAATAATGTATGTCTATTTCACAATATCTCAAGAACCACATTTTCCAGATTTTAGATGCAACTTGAAACTTATGTACTCTCGGATAATCTGCAGACCTGTTTAGTTTTTGATTGAAATTTGTCTATAATATTTACCCAATTTGCATTATAATCAGTAAATTTTCAGCTTTCCAATGATATCTAAAGAGCCACTCAACAGGTTTTCAATGAAACTAGGATTGAAATTCATTCATATTTAATAGCTATATGTTCACAATTGAAACGCATAAGTGTTTGTAGGTTGTAAATGTATTTAACACTTAGTGCTAGACATCTGTTGTTTACTGTAGCAGTTTTCCCTTGCAATGGTAAGCAAAGTGTTAAAAACAAACATAAGAAATGCTAAAAATGGTGTGTGAATCAGTGTTCTAATTGCTGTATATGTACACGGTGGTAGCAAGATGATCCATTACTGTGTAACACTCAGTGTTCAGTGTTGTGGATGTATGTGTCCAATCATATTAGTGAATATATCAGATACTCTACAACAGACACATAGCATTTCTTAATCTTTCCTTTGTACATTCAGTCTGCACTCTGTGTTGCTGCGTACCACTTTCCTTTCTACTTAATTTTAATTTCTGTAAGAGTTGTGTTATAATTTTTTTTTTTTGTTCTGTTTACAATATACTAATTTTGTTGCCATTATATCTTGCCCCGCTTTCTTTGGTTTATCCTTACACTTGTATGTACCTAGCGGAGTGCTATTGAAGGGCAAAATCACGTAGGTCTATTAAAAATACTATAAATATGTTTTGCATGTATGGACAAGGCACTGTTTTATCTACAGTCAATTTATGAAGCCTTGTTTCTGTTTCTTTTGTGTGTTTTTTTCACCATAACTTGAAGAGCGTGTTTTTCCCTAAATGTGTGCAGTTCATGGAAGTTCCACTTTTGTGTACTTTCACCTATTAATTAATCGAGTCTCTTGTTTTTCCTTCTTTTTTTGAGAGTTATAAATTTCTTTAATAGAAAAATTGCCAGATACATTTGTTCCTGTTTCAACAAGTTGTGAATCCATTCAACAAAATCTTAAATAGTAAATATGAGAGGCACATTTTTTGGACACATTTTGATTGAAATTTAACTTTGTAAGTATTTGGATTATCTAACTTCTGTGAAACATTCTGGTAACAGTCTTACAGCAGTGTTAGTCCAAATATTAAAATGAAACATTTTGAATGACTAAAGCAGTAAATCAGACTTGAAGTTTATTTGACATTTTTAGCTCCACTGTCGACAAAGTCGAGCGGAGCTTACAGTATTACTGATTGTCCGTCGTCGCCGTCGTCAACTTTACATTTTTCAATTTCTTCTGAAAAACCACAAACTGTATAGCTGTGAAACTTTCTAGGAAGGTACCATTGGTGGTTCTCTCTCAGATTTGTTCCTTTTGTGTGGATATGTTCAATTGTTTATTTATTTATTTATTTCACCAGAATGACCATTATAACAGAACTTATAAACAAAATACAATAGTAGTAATTCCGGCTTGGACCATGGAATTAGTCCTTATGGACTAGTCCAGTCCATGGCCCAGACTGACTGCTTTGATACTTGGTATGTAGGTACCTTAGGTGGACCTCTCTCAGATTTTTGACTCTCGTGTGCGAAGCACAAAAAGGGAGTCTTTGCAGTTAGTGTGTCTGTCTGTCTGTGTGTGTGTGTATGTGTGTCCATCTGTTCCACTGATATCTCAGAACCATATATCAGTTTTTGATGAAACTTGGTGCATAGATGCTTCTGGGCCATGCGCAGATTTGATT